TATATATATATGATTTTAAAATATTTTTGACAATATTAACTTTTTTTAAATAAAAACAGAAATTCTAGTATGATTGAAAATACCAATGTTTAATTAATCAAATGTTTTAATAATATAATAATAATCAGAATAGGCTATTCTTCTTCCAAGTATATATTATTCCTTTCAATATAATTTATTTTTATGAGAACATAAACATAAACATGGATGAATTAAATGTAAATATATTACTGTATATATATATATGATTTAAAAATATTTTTATATTAATATATTGTATTGTACATATAAATATTTTATTATATTAAAACGTTTTTAATAATAAATTTAGACAATAGTTTTAACATAAAATTAACCATCCTGACAGTTAGCAGTGCAGATGAAGCCATCAAATTCATCAACCAGAGAGAGAAACCCCTTGCCTTGTACATCTTTTCTTCAGACAACAAGGTTTAAACTGATTATTTGTTAACGATATAAAAAAGATGAAGTTTTACTTAAGACAATTGTACAAAACTGTCCTTTCATTATAGTTGATCAAGCGTTTGATTGCGGAGACCTCTAGTGGTGGAGTGTTGGCCAATGACTGTTTGATGCACTTCTCAGTAACCTCTTTGCCTTTTGGGGGAGTTGGTGAGTTCTTTTAATGAAACTTGTTTTCTTTTACATAAATAGGACAGTAATTTTGACCTCTGAGAGAAGCTGCAGAAGCATACATGACATGCTGTGTTATGTGGACTGTAGCTCAGCTCTTCGGCTCTCTCTGCAGGTAACAGTGGGATGGGCCATTATCACGGCAAGTACGGCTTTGATAACTTGAGCCACTTGCGCGGCTGTCTAATCAAACAGTTGAAGTTGGAGGGGGTGAATAATATGCGTTACCCACCACATACAGCAGATAAGCTGGGCTGGGCACGCTTTTTCATCCTCAAACATGTCGACTTCGGCAGCCTGGGTCGCATGGCGCTGCTGGCTCTGATGGCCGTCTTTGTTGCAGTGATTTTACAGGTAACAGATTATTATACCCATGTGATTATTGAGTATTTCATTCATTTGTTTTGAGCAAAATACAGAAGTTTTTATAAAAATAGAATATTTGTATATAGGCATTAATGTAATATTTTAAAATACAATGTAGATATTAATATAATATTTATATTTAATATAAATTATATTATTATACATATGAAATGTATTGACAATATTAACTTTTTTTAAATAAAAACAGAAATTCTAGTATGATATATATATATATGATTTTAAAATATTTTTATATTAATATATTGTATTGTACATTAAAACGTTTTTAATAATAAATTTAGACAATAGTTTTAACTCAAATAAAATTAATTTCAATATCACAAAAGTGCTCATCCAATCAGATATAAAAATCATATGAGCCATTCATATGAGCCTTTCCTAACAGACTCTTTTTTTCTTTTCTTTTTTTTTACAGAGATACTTCACTGACTAAGAATGTGAATAATATGAAGAAATCGTACCTCCACCCTGAACACACAGCTGCACAAGGCCTTGGTCAGACGGTCGGCTAACTCCTACTGAAGTGCTGCTTCCCTCCTTTGCCTTAGTTTTATTATCATAGCCATGATTCATTTCAATCATTATGACAATGCTGCATTTTAGGTCATTGAAACTAACATACAATTTTAATACTAATTATTATGATATCTGGAGCACTTTAATCAGTGTCTGTTTTAGAATACGCTCTTTTTATGATGCTCAAAGACCCTTGTCAGGAGTCCATCACATCTGGGATGTTTTTTAATGAAGGAAATGAAGGTCTCTCAGAATAGAATGATTTTGTTTTCTTATGCACATAACTTATAATATATGCTATTTTGAATAAGAAGTCCAGCATTTTGAAGAAATGCACATTTCAAAAGTCTGTTAACAAGTTTGTGCTGCAGTTATGTGGTTCAGTCAGATTTATGAAGAATTGGTTCATGTGAAGAAAATATTATTGTCTGAAATACAGAATATATAGTTATTTTATATTTAAATTAATAGTTTACTCAAAAATGAAAATTGTGTCATCGTTTATTCACCCTCATGTTGTCCCAAGCCCGTATGTATTTCCTTTTCCTATGAAACAAGATGAGGACATTTTGAAAAATAGTTACGCTGCTATTTTTTTCATGTAATGCAAGTGAATAGGAATTGCCATATAGGTTTGCAACAACATGAGGGTGAGTACTAAAATTTGGTGAACTATTCAGTGAAGATAGCAGTCCAACTACACCATATATGATATGTTTCTGATAATATTCCTAAAATATACATGACAACATTTCACTCTATATACGCTGAAATTTCTGTTGCATATCTGAAGGATCAATGCATCTGTTTCCACATTTCCATTAGTCCTAACATACTGTATATGTCTTAAAATAATTCCATAGATATAGAGAAACTTTTATGACATACAGAAATCATTTTTAATGCAACAATAAACTTGTTTTTACACAGCTGCATGTGAGTTTTCTGGTTTAATTGTGCAGCTTCTGGCATCTCACTGACTGTGTAGCAGGTGGCAGAATGATTGTCATGTTTGTTATAGCTTCTCTTTGAGTTTTATTATTCTTTTCTTTATCTGGCTCTTTGTTGCCCTCCTACACAAATACACAAAAGCTCACGTTCTTACAGTTCATGATGAGCACATTTAGATCTTGACAGCCCATCTTCTTTAACACAGTTACAGGTGTTCCTTGTTATTAGTTATCCTCCTCACCTGTCTGCCCCTTGTTATCTGCCCTATTTGAGTTCTAGCCCGTACTGTTCTCCTTCGTCCGGAATTGTATATATCTATTTCGGATTCCTGACCGTGACAGTAAGCGGCGCCCCTTCTCCCCGTGTTTGTTTTTCGTTTTTGAAAAGTGTTTTGTTTTCCTGTTTGTTTCTCCCCTCTAAAATGGAGGAACGAGCAATGTTCAGGCGAGCCACGACCCGATCACCTAGGCGAGGGCATTCGTGCCGCTCGCCCTCGCCAGCTTCCTCGATGGGGAGACCCTGGTGACGCTGTTCCGGCTCGGGATCACATACCATCGCCCCGCGGAACTCGCAGACACCACCAATTTCGACTGGAACGAGGCGGTCATCCGGTGTCTGGAGAGCCTCCGATCCAGAACCCATCCGCCGGCCGCTCCAAAGTCAAGCCCACCGGCCGCGGCATTCTCAAGCCCGCCGGCCGTTCCTCAGTCAAGCCCGCCGGCCGCAGCATTCCCAAGCCCGCCGGCTGTTCCTCTGTCAAGCCCACCGGCCGTTCCTATGTCAAGCCCACCGGCCGTTCCTCTGTCAAGCCCGCCGACCACCCCTTTTACCCCGAACCTAAAGGGGAATCTAAGGAGGAGAAGGCGGTAGGCTCCAGCCCCAGAGTTCACTCCAGTGTGGGCTCCAGCCCCCGAATCCAGCCCAAAGAGGGCGCCTGTTCCCGAGTTTAGCCCACGGAGGGCTCCTGTCCCCGAGTTTAGCCCAGAGAGGGCTCCTGTCCTCGAGTTTAGCCCAGTGAGGGCTCCTGTCCCCGAGT